CTGTTGTGTCAACACTCAAACCACTGAGAGGTTTTTTCTGACTCTCTGCTGCTTTAAGCAGATTCAACTCCATCTGATTTTACTTTTCTACATTCCTTTCTCCTCACTTTGTTTTCCTGACTAATTTCTTCTTGTTTTATTTTGAAAAGTTTCTCTTTTGTACATTATATGTTACATGAATATTATTACAAATTGTTTATTTGTAATAATATCTGTAATAATTTCCAGATAAATTTACATTTCTGTAGACTGATGCAGCTGAGTGACGAGGACAAAAACATTTCAGTTTTTGCTGTTTTCATATCAAGTTTCTGACATGGAGTCTGTTACAGTGTAAATTAAAATATTTAAAAAATGTGAAATTTAGCACGCAAGTAAAAAAAAAGTTGTATCCATATGTGCTGAACCCATCTGCAGTACTGTTTCGAAGTACAAATGTATTTCAGGATTAAAATGTCTAAATAAAACCCTTTAAACGTTTTTCAGCTCTAGATTTCATATTTTATTTAATCGTCAGTCTGGTAGCTCCATGTAGACTTTATTGTTTGCTTATATTTCTAAGAAATATTATTTTTGACCCTATTCTTTAATCAGAGATGAACATCCTTATTCTAGTAGTGTTTTAAACTCCTGGCTTTCTCTGTTGGCTGCAGGAGGATTCAACATGGCCGCCCTTCCTGTCTTCCTCTTCATGCCAGTAAATTTGTTTGGTTCTTTGATTCCAGGGCAGGCAGGGTGGCGTGGATATCGATCCCTGGGAAGATGCTGATTACAGCATCTATAAAGTCATCGACCGCTTCGGCTTCATGCAGTAAGTAATGCGGCCACTCGGTGGCGCTGTGAGCAGGATTTCCATTGGTTGTTGCCTGATGGTTTGTTTTTTCCCTGCAGTGAGAATGAGCTGCCGGCCCCAACAGTTCAAGAGGAGAAGGTGCAGACAGAAAACATTTCAAAGCTCAGGAATCAAACATGTTTGTGGTTTTGTTGACTCTCTTCTGTCTCCTCAGCGCAAGCAGCTGGAGATCGAGAGAGCAGAGAAATGGTTGAAGATGGTGAATAAATGGGACAAATACAAGAACAGCGACAAGGTGAGGCACCAATGGGATGCCATAGAGTCTGAAAATATGTTCAGAACGAGTCAGAACAGACAGACTTCCTGTTCCAGGACCTCTGAAAACGTGAATAGTGTCAAATCCAGCTAAACTCACCAGGATTTCTATCCAACAGAAGATCACAGCAGACTGTCACGACATCACAACACCAACATCCATGAGCCTGACATAATTCACTGCATTTCCTTGTATATATGGGAGGTTTTTGCACCTCCACCATCAGTTACAGTCTGACTGTGTGGGGAACATATTAACAGTGTCCTAATCAAAGTAGCACCAGCATCAGAGTTTTCAAGTGCAAGGCTACCCAGAGCGTAATTTCATCAGATGCTGATGAAACCAGACGCTTCAGAAGAATGGAGGCGGTTCCCCTCCAACATGGAGGTTTGTTCTCTGAAGATTTTGGGTTTGGAAAAGTTGGCTGTCAGAGTTTATCCACCAAATGTGTTTCCATCTTTGGAGCATTAACAGGTTTTTTTGGAAAAGCCAAAACCACCTCGAGCGACTGTAAAAACTTTTTGTTGTGTTAAATTGAGGAAGTTGTTTTCAGATTTGCCATTTTCTAACCGTGACTCAGAAAATGTTGATGGAATAACAGCTGATGAATGTTAGCTTGGATGTTAGCATTGCCCGCTTCATGGTTTTCCACGGATCCCAGCTTTCTGATTGGCTGCCACTAAATGCATTTTAAAACCCTCAGTAAACAGTGGAGCTGTGACGCTCGGTCTCCATCCTGCACATACAGGAGCGTTTATGTAAACCTGGAACATCAATAATCTGAACATAAAGCTGCACAGAAATCAAATCTGTTTTATAAAACAAGCATTTTTGTACTGAATGTATTTTTACCCTGATTTTTTTCCTGAATGCTGCAGAAAGCGTCTCTTTGCTGTGACGTTAATCATCTGATCTCTGTGTGACAGCGGCGCTGTCTGAATATGTTTCTGATGTGAGAGTCCAGCTGTGTCCCTGTGAAGCCGAGCGCCTGGCGCTGACTCAGTCTGCTCTCTGCTGCCAGATGGTGAAGCGGGTCTATAAGGGCATTCCTCTGCAGCTCCGCGGCCGGGCCTGGACGCTGCTGCTGGACGTGGAGCGGACCAAGAGGGAGAACCAGGGGAAATACGAGGTGAGGATTCATTTCTCTTCATTCGTTCATCAGATTTCATCAGCTGACTGAGTTTGTTTTGCTGCTTTGCCTCTTAGAAAATGAAGGAGCAATCCCAACTGTGTTCCTCCGAGATCAAGCAGATCGACCTGGACATCAACAGAACCTTCCGGAACCACATCATGTTCATGGACCGCTTCGGGGTCAAGTGGGTTTCAGGCTGAAACTTTTGATTAAATAAAACTTTGGAGCGGTTCTGCTGAAAGGCCAGTCAGTGAGGAAGAGGCCAAAACAACACAAAGAGTCACTTTCAACACTTTAAACGACCAAAACTTTAATTTATTTATTAGGTTTATTTGATAGGGACACAATAACAGACAGACTGAATAAAACAGCCGTCCCACATAAACATCATGGTGATTATAGCAAACAATTCATCTAAAAACTGCCTCTGGCAGTGAAATAATAATAATATAAAATAATTAAACATTATATTAACAACATATGCAAAGTCATACGTACCTTAATTTACAGTGACAAGTAGGAAGTCAGGTAGAAAAGTCAAATAAAAGTTTTAACTCCAGTAGAAGCAGAAAGTTCTCATCCTAAAATAAGTATTTAATAAAAGTTTTAACTTGTCATAACACCTGAATTAATTTGTGAAATGATGCAGTCAGATGGATGGAAATATTAAATTATTTGCAATTACAAAGAATAAAATAATAAATGAGTGAAAAACACAAACATTGTTACAAAATAGAGAAAAGATACAGGCAGAAAGAAACAGTTATCAGATTATTACATCGATCAGTTATTATTCCAGATTCTTCATTTAGTCTTATTAAAGGTAAAAGTTTCATTTTTCATCCACAGCTGTGTTTCTCATAACTTCAGTATTTTTGTCAATTTTTCTATCAATTATTGTTTTATTGAATGTTTAAAATCAGTGAGACGTTTTTATGGTGATGCAGTTTCTCATCTAAAGGCTGCAGAGTGAAAATATTTCTGCAGGAAAAATGTCCAGTTTTTCTGTAGTGGATGAGAAATAAAGTACAGTGAAAAAGTTTTCACACCCCTTGAACTTTTGCACAATTTGTCACGTTTCAAACAGACTTTGGGATTCAGACGGATCAACAGAAAGAAATGGTTAAGTGGAAGGAAGAAATGCACAAATAATACATCTGAAAAGTGTGGCCTGCATGTGCATGAATATTGCTGTTTTGTTGGTGCAGATAAACTGAAATGGATGAAATGGAAACATTAGGAGAGAGTCTGTGTTTTTGTCTGAGGTTTTTAATAACGGTGATGGATGTATTTATGTTTGATCTCTGAAGTTTCCCTCTGCTCGCTCCTCCTCAGGCAGCAGTCTCTCTTCCACGTCCTCTCAGCATATTCAGTTTATAACACTGTAAGTAGCTGCTTTCCCTCCAGTTTAACCATCTTGGATGTGAAATGTGTGCAGGTTTTTCCTAACAGCCTGCTGACACGACACTCTGCTTCTCTGAAGAAAAAAATGTATTTTCTGCAGCAAACATCTCATGTTCTGCTCTGTTAATCAGCAGCTGCAGACGGGCTGATCGCTGAGGCTGGATTAGTTTACAGTTCAGAGCTTCAGTCTGGGAACAGAAAAGCAGAGAAACAGAGACAACGTCTTTAAATCTTACAGCGGATTTTATTTCTGCATGTTGACCTGAAGCTGAACCAGAACCAGAACGGCTCCAAGCCCTGCAGGACTGGAACATGTTCTGTTATTTTGGTCTGTGTTTTCTGTCTCCTGCAGGAGGTGAGCTACTGCCAGGGCATGAGTCAGATCGCCGCCCTGCTGCTGATGTACATGAACGAGGAGGACGCCTTCTGGGCGCTGTCGCAGCTGCTGACCAACGATCGGCACGCCATGCACGGTGAGCTGCAGAGCGCTGCAGGGCAAAATGTTTTCACCTGAAGACCTGCGTCTGCTGAGCATCCTTCAGTCTGCTGATTCTGGCTTGTGCTAAAAGTCACAGTTCATGATTTTTACTAGTGGTTTTGAGATGATTCTTGGCTTTTCCAGAGAAGAGTTACTGTACTTAATGGAAGATGGAAACAGATTTTATTATAAGTTCTGATGTAGCAAACTTTCCCATCTGCTAGTGGATCTGTGGTAAGTTTCTGTTTGGTTTCTGTTTGAGGTCCAGGATGTCTCCTGGACCTGTTGGAATGGTTCATGCTAGTTTGTAACCTCTGCTTCCTGTTTATTACAGCCATATGCAGCAACAACATCTCATAAAATTATGCTTTGCATCACCCGGTTCATTTGCTCCAAACCAGGAGGCAGAAATTTAGACCTTTGAGCTTGAAGTTTAAGAATCTCTCGTTGGCAGATACGACTTAATAAACTGGAGCTCTGAATGAAGACATAAAAAGTTTAAAAAACATTTTCTCACCACGCCAGGGAAGCTTCATGTTCCTGTTCCAATCAGTTGACTGATGCATCATCTCTCCTTATATGGTCACATATCCCACAGCTTCCATAAGAGTGAGAGAAAACACCAGAAAAGACCAATCGTGATTCTGTCTGTTAGCACCGTCAGGCTTTTTAAGTCATCTGTCATGAAAATGCTATAAAATTTGACCTTAGACTAAATAAAGTTAAATTAAATCTTCATTCTCTGCTCTGCTTCTGTTTCCAGGCTTCTTTGTTCCTGGATTCCCCAAACTTCACCGGTTCCAGGCTCATCATGACCAGATCCTTTCCAAACTCCTCCCGAAACTGAAGAAACACATGGTGAGCTCTCAGCGTTGCCGTGGAAACGACACGACGCTGAAGGATTTTGAGATTTCATCTGCTTCCTGCTCGTGTTTGTGGCTCTGCAGGACCGGGAGCAGATGTCTGCAGGGATCTACTGCACCAAATGGTTCATGCAGTGCTTCATCGACCGGGTGAGGAAGCCTGTTGGGACCCGTCTGTCTCCATGACAATCAGATTAGATAACCTATCTGGATAATTTGCCAGCTTGCATCACAAACAGCTTCTCTGTTCAGCAGACTCAGGTTTTAACTAGACCCATCTTGAAAGGGTTTTATTTAATTCAGTCGTGTGTGAATGAGTGAAATGAGCATTTCTTCCCCTACCAGCCTTCAGTACGAAGCACTAAGAAAATGTGCCATCTAAATAAAATTACCTGAGCTCACCTAAGACGTTTTCAGGAGCAGCCATAATGTTTCCTCCTCTGTGTTTGGAGACGGAGGCTCTGATCTTCCAGTCCAAACAGGCTGAGCTGATTAAAAACATGTTGATGTTGGAATCTTCTGTCCACAGAACTTTCTCCTAAACCTCTGAATCATTAGGAAACCCAACGCAGGCCTGAACATGTTCATTTTACACAAACTGAATCACAACATTGGTGTTCAGCTGATCTGAAATGAACAAAGAGCTACAAGTTCTGGGCTCATTCCTCAGCCTGTTGTTTCATTATATGGAGATAAAATGGGGCCATAAATTTGTTTAAAAAAAAAAAAAATTGGAAATGAAAAAAAAAACATTCAAAATTTCAGAAAACTTCAAAAAATATTGATACTGAAAACTAAAAGAAGATTTAAAACAAAAATGAATTTCTCTTAAAAGTTGAAAAAGAAAAATATTTAAAACTAAAAAACATATTTTTAAAAAGTTAAGACAAGAAGTTTCTGTAAATGATAAATTGATGAAATTCTGGTTCTGTTGGAGTTATGAAATATTTATTTTAATCAAAAACTTGCATACAGATTTTTAACATTTTATCGTTTTTTCTGAATTTGTGTTTTTTTTTTTGTCTTCCTGCATTAAAATGAAACTACAATTTTTTTTATTTTGTTTGTAACAGGGGATGAAATACTTAGTTAATAAGGGTGTACTTACTTTTCTCCACTTTGACTCCAGCTCTGGTGTAATCTGTTTTGTGTTTTTGTTACAAACTAAATCATTTTCTCGTTAAACACTGGTATTAATCACCAGTGAAAATTGCTGCAGACATACAGTATTATCAGCATCTTATTAGATTCAGTTAACAGATTTAAGGAGAGCGCCACCTATAGAGCCTTGCTCTGAATGCCAGTTTCTGTCGTGGAGTAAAACCCAGTTTCAGCATCTCATTCTGCTGAAACTGGACGCTCCTGCTCCTGATTTCAGATGATTTCAGCAGAAGAATCCTGGTGAAATCTGAGCCTGGCTCTGCAGTAGATGGGAGCATTAGGAGCTGTCAGGCTGCTCTGTTATTAGTCTGTGTGCCACAATCCTGTGGCGGTGATCTGGCGGGTTTCAGCCTCTGTCAGCACTTCTCCATCCTGCTGAGTCGCTCGGAGAACGCGCTGAGGTTTGGGACCTGGCCAGATGAACTTCCTGACTCGGACCAGCAGCGGAGGTGCAGACCTGGGGATGAAGCCGGAAACCTGGCAGTGACCCGTTGTGTTTGTGACCCTGCAGACGCCGTTCACCCTGACCCTTCGGCTGTGGGACATTTTCATCCTGGAGGGACAGCGGCTCCTCACCGCCATGTCCTACACCATCCTGAAGATACACAAGAGTAAAACCGTCAATCGTTTTCCATTCACACTGATTGTTCTGCACCACTGACACCATGACTCACTTCTATAAGGGAACCAGATCTAGTCTGTAGTTCAAAAGTGTTTTAACCTCCATTTTTTACATCTTAGTTCCAAGTTATCCATTTTTAAATTTCCAGATTTCTTTGTTCATTTGAGTCAAATTTGAAAGCAAAACCAAAACATTTAATATAAATTTATGAGAAATTGTTTTTAGCAGAGTTCAAATAAGTAAATGGAGAAGAGGATGGATGGATGGATGGATGGATGGATGTTGGTTGGATGGTTGGTTGGATGGATGTTGGTTGGTTGGATGGATGTTGGTTGGTTGGTTCGTTGGTTGCATGGATGTTGGTTGGATGGTTGGTTGGATGGTTGTTGGATGTTGGTTGGATAGATTTTGGTTGGTTGGATAGATGTTGGTTGGTTGAATGGTTGTTGGATGTTGGTTGGATGGTTGTTGGTTGGTTGGATGGATGTTGGTTGGTTGGAAGGATGTTGGTTGGTTGGTTGGTTGTATGGTTGTTGGTTGGTTGGTTGGTTGGATGGTTGTTAGATGTTGGTTGGATAGATGTTGGTTGGTTGGATAGATGTTGGTTGGTTGGATGTTGGTTGGATGGATGGTTGGATGGATGTTGGTTGGATGGTTGGTTGGATGGATGTTGGTTGGTTGTTGGATGTTGGTTGGATGGATGTTGGTTGGTTGGAAGGATGTTGGTTGGTTGGTTGGTTGGATGGATGTTGGTTGGATGGTTGGTTGGATGGTTGTTTGGATGGTTGTTGGATGTTGGTTGGATGGATGTTGGTTGGTTGGAAGGATGTTGGTTGGTTGG